CACACCTTGTTTTTTTTTTTTTTTTTTGAGACAGAGTGTAGCTCTTGTTGCCTAGGCTGGAATGCAGTGATGCAGTGGCACCATCTTGGCTCACTGCAACCTCCGCCTCCCGGGTTTTAAGTGTTTCTCCTGCTCAGCCTCATGAGTTGCTGGAATTACAGGCACACGCCACCATCCTCAGCTCATTTGTGTATTTTTAGTAGAGAGGAGGTTTCCCCATGTTGGCCAGGCTGGTCTCGAATTCCTCCTCCCGCCTCAGCCTCCCACCAAAGTCCTGGTGTTACAGGAGTGAGCCAATGTGCCTGGACTGTTTTTTTTTTTTTGAGAGGGAATCTCTATGTTGTCCAGGCTGGAGTACAGTGGCTATTCACAGGTGCAGTCATATAGCCTTGAACTCCTGGGCTGGAGTGATCCTCCTGCCTCAGCCTCCTGAGTAGCTGGGACTACAGGCACGTACCCGGCTACCACACCTTGTTGTTTAAAAATAGTTTTAGGCCTGTCATGGTGGCTCATGCCTGTAATCCAAGCACTTTGGGAGGTTGAGGTGAGTGGATCACTTGAGGTGAGGTCTGGAGTTCAAGACCAGCCTGGCCAACATAGTACAACCCTGTCTCTACTGAAAATACAAAATGTAACCGAGCGTGGTAGTACCTGACTGTAATCCCAGCTACTCCAGAGGCAGAGGCAGGAGAATGCTTGAATTCTGGGAGATGGAGTCTCCCAGAGAGCTGATATTGTGCCATTGCACTCGAGCCTTGGGTGACAGAGTGAGAATCTGCCTCAAAAAAAAAAAAAAAGTTTTTATTAAAAATCGTTGTTGCAGAAGGATGTTTAAGAATGTATACGGAATGGAGACACCTTTCTCTTTTTTATTTAACATTCATCATTGAGATCATTTCTTCATAGACTTCTTTTTTAAAATCCTTGCAAAGTGTTACTTTTCTAGACGTGGCATAATTTATTAGTCCCTTAGTGATGGGTACTTAGGTTGTTACTGATCTCCTGATACCGACAGTATTGACTTTTTACCCTTCTGAGCTTTTTGTTTTAGTTGGGCCTCATCCTCAGAATGTAATTTGATTTTGTTTTTAACTGAGAGACTTTTAGTAGCTGAATTTCTCGTTTATTAATTTTAGTAATAGCAGCTCACTTCCATTGAACACATCTGTGTGCCCAGTACTGCTCTAAGCACACTATTTAGACTGCCTTTAATCTTTCCAGCTCTGTGAGCTAGGTACTAATTACCACCGCTTTATGAGGAGCCTCAGGGAGAGAGAGAGAGGAAATAACTTCCTGAGCCTAGTAAAGTGGAAGGCTGGGATTTGACCCCAGTCAGTTTGACTTCAGGTCTCTTAACCAGACTGGTATGGCATGCTACTGTGTGACAGATATGTTTAGTCTTAATTTAACTATTTTTAAAAAATGTTATGCTTCATATTAATGTGTTTTATTTATGTATTAGTATTTTTTAACTGAAGACTTGTTTTTGTCTTTGCTTTGTATTAGGTGTGTGTTCTTAGTAATAATTAAAAGGTCTTATTTTTGCATATTTTAGTATCATTTGATACATTTACCCTGTATTTGTTTAGGGGTAACTACCTCCTTCCTGCTGTAATCAGCGACCAGGTTGGTATTTCCACATATTCTTGCCTCCCCTTTCTTCTCTCCACCACCTGCTTTTGATTAATTATGTTACTAAACTTATTCCAATGTTAACATTTTAACTTTATGTTTACTAATGCCTCTGATACTTTGTCAGTTTTAAATAATACCTTTTGATTCCACTGTTAAGAGGCAAGTGTTTTTATACTCCCTCCTTTCCTTGGACACTGCTCAAATTGATGTTAGTTTTTTCTGTTAAAATTTATAACATTTACATTCTGTTCCGTAATTCCCAGAAAAGAAAAGTCTTTTATTTTTTTGAGACAGAGTCTCCCTCTGTCGCCCAGGCTGGAGTGCAGTGGTGCTATTATCAGCTCGTTGCAACCTCTGCCTCCTGGGTTCAAGCAATTCTCCTGCCTCAGCCTCCTGAGTAGCTGAGACTACAGGTGTGCACACCATGCCCAGCTAATTTTTATATTTTTAGTAGAGATGGGGTTTCACCATGTTGACCAGGCAGGTCTCCAACTCCTGACCTCAAGTAATCTGCCTGCCTTAGCCTCCCAAAGTGCTGGGGTTACAGGCGTGAGCCACTGTACCTGGCCAAAGAAAAATCTTTAGTTCTACATCTTAAATGGCTTCATTGCTCACTATAAGTCTTTTGCTGGACTTTTTGGATTCTTCTTGATTTAATAAAGTTTATATTCTAATAGTTCATGAACCCATAAATTCTGACTCCTGGGAATGAAATTTTCTGAGTTCTTGTATGTTTAAGGATCTATATTTTGATACTCCTTAGTATTTTATTTTATATTGTTTTTTTAATTGACACATAATAATTGTGCATATTTATGGGGTACAGACTGATGTTTTGATACATATAATGTGTGGGTATCAGATCAGAGTAATTAGCATATCCATCATCTCAAACATTAGATATTTTGATTTTGTAGCATATTTGATTGACACTGTGGCCAGATGTAGAATTCTTGGATTGTACCTTCTTCCCTTGAGGACTCTCTAAGTGTGACCCATGTGTCCTAGTGTCCTAGTGTTAAATGTAGCTGTGTTGAAGGCTGAGGCTGACTGTACTTTTCCTGTCTCAGCGGTATATTTGTCTACTTGGCTGCTGTAATTTTCTTCTTTTTTTTTTTTTTTTGAGATGGAGTTTCGCTGTTGTTACCCAGGCTGGAGTGCAATGGCATGATCTTGGCTCACTGCAACCTCTGCCTCCTGGGTTCAGGCAATTCTCCTGCCTCAGCCTCCCGAGTAGCCAGGACTACAGGCACGCACCACCATGCCCAGCTAATGTTTTGTATTTTTAGTAGAGACAGGGTTTCACCATGTTGACCAGGATGGTCTTGATCTCTTGACCTCGTGATCCACCCGCCTCGGCCTCCCAAAGTGCTGGGATTACAGGCATGAGCCACTGCGCCTGGCCTGTAATTTTCTTATACCACAGGTTGGGTGACTTAAACAGTAGCCCAAGATGGAGATGCCATTGGGTTTGGCTCCTGGCGCAGCCCTCTTCCTGGTCACCTTTCCTGCTGTGTTCTCACATGCCTTTCCCCTGTGTGAGCATAGAGAGGGGAGAGAATGGGAGAGAGAGACTGCTTTCTGGTGTCTCTTCCTCTTTTTTTTTTTTTTGAGACGGAGTTTCACTCATGTTACCCAGGCTGGAGTGCAATGGCGTGATCTCGGCTCACCGCAACCTCTGCCTCCTGGGTTCAGGCAATTCTCCTGCCTCAGCCTCCTGAGTAGCTGGGATTACAGGCACGCACCACCATGCCCAGCTAATTTTTTGTATTTTTAGTAGAGACGGGGTTTCACCGTGTTGACCAGGATGGTCTCGAGCTCTTGACCTCGTGATCCACCCGCCTCGGCCTCCCAAAGTGCTGGGATTACAGGCTTGAGCCACCGCGCCCGGCCTTCTTCCTCTTCTTATAAGACCATCCTCCAATCCTATCAAATTAGGGCTCCACCCTTATGACCTCAGGTAACCATGATTACCTCTTGAAAGGCCCTATTTCCATTTGTAGTACATTGGGAGTTAGGGCTTAATATATGAATTAGAGGTGAGGGGTGCATAGTTCATTCATAATAAAGGATAATGTAGATGTTCTACCTCAAGGTCTAGAGACCTTCTATTTTTTCAGTTTTAAATATGAGGTATAGACCCATGTTTGTTAATGTGGAAAAATGTTCATAATATATTGTTGAATGACAAAAATCAGGTTTATTCTTTTTCTATTTCTGTTATCCTGTCATTTCCTCCTGTTTGATGATGGTTATTTTAAAATAAGATACTTTGATTCTTGGAAATGTCTTTGGAAATTCTTGGGAATTTTTATCTGTTTTTTTTTAATATTTTCCCAGATATTCTCTCCCCTCCTCCCCACCTCCCCTCTTCCCCTCCTCTCATCTTCCCCTCCCTTTCTGGTCTTGTTGTGTCACCCAAGTTGGAGTGTAGTGGTACAGTCTTGGCTCACTGTAGCCTTCACCTCTGAGGCTCAAGTGGTCTCACCTCAGCCTCTCCAGTAGCTGGGATCACAGGCATTTGGCTGACTTTTAAATATTTTCATGGAGGTGGTGTCTTTTTATATTGCCGAGGCTAGTCTCAAACTCCCGGGCTCAAGTCATCCTCCCTCCTCAGCCTTCTAAAATGCTAGGATTATAGGCATGAGGTACCACGCCTGGCCCTAGGCATGTGTTTTTTGTCTGCCATTTGTTTCTCCTATTTTCTCTGTCCCTTTTCTTTGAGTATTTTTATATGACTGTTGACTGGCTTCTTTGTGCCCCTTACTTGTCTTTGAATGAGCAGAGTTCTTCCTGGACTAATGGCGTGTGGGTAGGCTGGGGAGGTCCTGGGGGAAGCTGTGCTCTGCCCTGGCCTCTTCCTTTGCCGCTGGACTGACGGGTGCTTGCCCTGACCTTGCCTGCTCTGCCACCCTGTGGCTTCTCACCCCGGGCCTGTCCCGAGCCAGGGCTTGCTGCTCCTCTGGCCCTCCTGTGCTGAGACCCGAAGTCACCAGTTCGCCTTTGGTGTCCTCACTTGTCTTGGTTGTGTTTTCACAACCCTTGGCAACTTGCTTCTGGGATATTCAGTTTCAGGGTTTTTAGGTGTTATGTTATCAAAGATAGAGTTTCTTTTTCTGTAACTTGTTCTTATTTTGGGTGGGTAATAAGAACAGAAGCCTTCAGAGAGATATTTACTCTGCTGCTTCAAAGCTTTTAAGGCTCACAGCCAGATTTCTTTAATCACTTCGGGCATCCTCTAGCTGTAAAATTAGGGAACTGTATAATGTCCTTGCTAACATACTTTCAGGTTAACCTGTTTATGGTTCTGATGTATTTCCATGAAATTTGGGTAAACACTAAATATAGTGAATGTTTTCTTACAGACAGAACCTCCACTCAATACACCAGAAAACAGAGAGTATCTTGCAGAAATTATGTTTGAATCATTTAATGTACCAGGACTCTACATTGCAGTTCAGGTAAAAAGTTATTTTTGTGATTCTCAAAGCTCCTGAGCTGTCTAGTAGTGGAAGAAATGGTAACTCCCAAGGTTCTTTGCTGAAAGACTGTGCTGTGGGCTCTTCCTTTTTTCACTCCCTCTCCCCCGCTCCCCGCCCCAGCCCCCCACGCCATCCAGGACCATAGAGAACATGTCCCATGACTTTTCTTTTTATATTTATGTCATTGGTATAGACGTCATCTGGCTCTTTTTACATGCATTAAAGTCGAATGCATTTTTATCTGAGTGACAAGATATGGGTGCTGTTTCTTTTGACATCTTTGACTGACTTTGATCAGAAAAACAAATACCTTTAGAGGTTTCCCCTATCTGATTTTGGATTTGGGGCTCTTATTTGTCCTGGTGTACTATCTTGCTTCTGAGGGACCTTGTGTTTTCATGAGCTTGCAGAACTTGTTCTGAAGCTGCGGGTTTTTGGTGTGATGTTTTTTGGTTGCATTTGGTCATTATTTGCCTGCCACCTTATGTAAGGGGATTGACCTAAATTTATTATGGATTAAATAAAATGGGTGTTGCCCAAATGTTTTCTGCATAATACTAGTCACTTCTAAGGAGGAGGTGGAGGAAGAGTTCCATAGAGAAATGAATTTGGGTGGTGCTGCATCCTGTAGCTTTCTTGTGCTCATTCACAGTGCCTGTCAGCACAGTCCAGGCTCTTGAGGTTTCCTGTGTTGAAATCTATGTATTCTAGCACTTCCAAATGCATTTAACTCCAAATCTTCCCCTGCCCAAGTTATTTATATTCCATGGGATAGGAGACATAAGACTGGTGGTTCCCAAAGTGGTCTGTGCATCAAGTTTACCTGGAGAATGTTTTTTAAAAGTACAGATTTCGAGCTTCATCTTTGGCCAGGGTTTTCCACCCTGAGTGCTTTGGGCTGGGTAGTCCTTTGTTGTGGGCGGTACACTGTGCATTGCAGGGTGTTTAGCAGCATCCCTGGCCTCTGCCCACTAGAAGACAGCAGCCCCACCTTGAGCCTCCCTGCTCGGACAAAGAAAATGGTACCAGACATTGCCAGATGTCCCTTTCGGGGCAAAATTTTATTTGGTTGAAAAATTGCCCTGTACCGTCCAGATTAGAATTTCTGGGTGTGAGGCCTAGTAATCTGTATTTTAAACAACTCTACAAGTGACCTCATTGCCAATCTGTGGCCCACACTGGAAACCAGTGAATTAGAAATTAAAATCTTGTGATTGTATAATGAAATATTTTTCTCACTGGCTTTTCTTTGTAAAGCTTTAGGCTTCTTTTTTTCTTTCTCTCTTTCCTTCTTTTTTTTTTTTTTTGAGACAAGATCTCATTGTGTTGTCCAGGGTGGAGTGCAGTGGTGCAAATATGGTTCACTGCAGCCTCGACCTTCTGGGCTCAAGGGATCCTCCCACCTCAGCCTCCCAAGTAGCTGGGGGTACAGATGCAGGCTGCCATGTCTGGCAAATTTTTGTATTTTTTGTAGAGATGGAGTTTTGCCATGTTGCCTAGGCTGGTCTTGAACTTTTGGGCTCAAGTGATCTGCCTGCATTGGCCTCCTAAAGTATTGGGATTACAGGCATGAGCCACCACACTTGGCCAGGTTTCTTTATTGAAAACTTGACTCCTACAGTTTTAAGTACTCAAAATTTTCATGTTAGTTGTCCAAGTTGGAATTGGAATTTGAGGGACAGGGGTTAGAGGAGGGATAGGAAATGGAAAGAGTTACTCAGACATATTAAGAGAGAGTTTGTTGACTGGATCTGGTAGGAGCAGGCAGATGCTTTAGAAAGAGTTCCCGTGTGCGAGTAAGTGGTTTCCATGTCTTTTCTCCAGGCAGTGCTGGCCTTGGCGGCATCTTGGACATCTCGACAAGTGGGTGAACGTACGTTAACGGGGATAGTCATTGACAGCGGAGATGGAGTCACCCATGTTATCCCAGTGGTAAGCAGGATAGTTAATATGTAACTCTCTATAGGCTTAACACCTGATTTGAGGTAAGGATGGAAATAATTAAAAAAAAAAAAAAAAAAAAAACCTTCTATAATGAAAATACATTTTAGATGATAGTTTTACTTAGAAAAGGTAATAAAAGTTTTAAAAACCCAACTGTGTGGGAAAGAATGAAAAAAATGGCCAATATTTCTGGCTTGAGCAATTTTAAATTCACGGTGGCATATTTCTACTGTCACAATGTCAGAGAATGTCCAGGATGTCTCTGGATCTTCAGAGCCTCTGCTTGATCCCTGTGGGTATAACATCAACAAGAACGTTTTCCTGGCTTATGATTCTGCCATGTTGGGAGATAGACGCCATTTTGGATGTCCCGTTTGGTGCAGTGCGTGGCCATTTGAAGTAGCACATCTGTGTCTGCGAAGAGATGGGAATGGCTTTAACCAGCTCAGGCTTGGAAAAATTGCTTCTTGTTTTAAACATTTATTTAAAAACCAAGCAGGGGAGGGTGTACATTTTGGCTTGCAGAAGGCTCTGCAATACCAGTTTTTGGTTTTAATTTTCAAAATATTAGAGAAGTGATTACTAATTTGGGTTTCAAGAGATCTCTGAATTTTTCTTTTGGTCCAATGGACTATTTAAAGGAATTATTTAAAATTCATTTGTTTGGAAAATGTATCAGAACTATCTGAAGATGGTGTTCAGAGAAAAGTCAGACTCATCCTGTCTTCCTCCTGTGAGGTCTCCTCCTCAGGAACCACCATTGCTAATTACTTCTGTATGTTACAGATATGTTTCTGCATATGCTTATGGGTATGTGTATGTGTATATATACACACAGCTCTTTTAAATACAAATTAGGATTTTAAAAAAACCATTTACTTTAGTTGGAAAAATAGTCACCATTTCATTTTGAGAAGGTGATGGGATGCTGTACTAATATACTCATGCTTTAATTCCTGAAAAGTTAGGAATCATTTCAGTGGACAGGCTTAATGATCATTGTGTCTATGGTCAGGGAGAAAAAAGCCAACCTCCCGTCCCCATAGCTTGTGCTTCTGCCCGTGTGCCTTTCCCGTGGGAGGAGAGGTGTATACCCTGCCCTGTGAAGTGTGCGCTTGACTTGAGCCCCCTTGAAGCCAGTCTCAGCACTTCTTTCCATGGGACTCGGGAAGAGTCAGTGCCTGGGTGTGGAGCACTCACCACGAACTCAGGCCGCCGGCTTCCTCAGAGAGCAGGGCTCTGAGATCCAAGATGAGGCTCCTGTGGGCCCCTGGCCTGTGCCCCCTTTGGTTCTTTGCCTATTTCTTATGTCTGACTTAGGAAAAAAAATATATTTCACAGTGTGTCCAGGTCTACCAAGAAGGTTGTTTGAAAAGATTTTTAATTGTATCTTAGTTCAGTTTTTCCCTCTGTTATAAATATTACATTTGTCATTAAAAATTTGGACAAAATAGAAAAATTTGAAGAAATAAAATTACCCCTAAGCCCATCCAGAAACCCATATTATACTTTTAGTTCTATAGTCTTTAAGCTCTTTTTGTAAGACAGGTGTGTGCACATGCATAGACACACATTTTAAACACAATTGGAATGCCTCATGTCTCATTTGGGATTCTAACAGAATACAATCCTAAAGTTATATTTTGCATATTAATTTAACCCTAATTTTTTTCTCTCGTGGTTAAATATTCCGTGAAAATATGTTAAGGAGGTACATAATTTATTTTTCTGTTGTTGGACATGTATCTTGTTTTAGTATTTTTACTACTGTCATGAGCTGATATTTCACAGTATTTTAGAAAATACTACATGTAATGCATAGAATATTGTAACTATGAATAGTTTATGTGTTAGAAAGCTAATGTTATGGGTTTGATTTTTAATTGTACATATCTTTTATCTCCATCTTAAAATGCTTTGCGAATACTTGGACTCTGCAGAAAGGCTGTCTTTTTTTGCTTCTAGAAGTTAGGTACATCAGAAAAAAGCATAGGAGGAATTCAGTAAGTTGTCCTTGCAACTTAACTGGTGACTATATGCCATTATTAGAATGAATACATCTGTAAAATGAAGTCAGCATTTCACTTCTGTGTGCCTTCTGTCTCAGTTGGGGATTATGGCACAGAAGCTGTGATGGGCTATAAGGTAAAACCTGGGTGTCTCTTTACTCGATGATCCAGTGGTAGGCATTGTCCACTCTTGATGGTCAGCATCCTGCTCATCCCCTGTACTACAAGCTAGATGTGTGTCCAAGCCTGTGGCTCCTGTAGCAGGTCTGTGCCCACAGGAGGGCTGATGGGGGAGCTTTGGGCCTATTGTTGCTGTGGGCCTGCGGACACTTGACACCGGCCCTGCCATTGATTGGCCCAGGTGGTGGTCACCCTCCTTTCCTGGCCCCTCACATACATGCCTTCACTGGCTAAGGGAGGCAGTGGAGTGAGAGGCTCTGAACCCCCAAAACCAGTGCTATGTGCTAGACACACAATTTTACCTGAACTGTATTACTGGCCCCTGCAGGGTATTGTTTGCTTCATATTGTGGACAAATGTGTTGAGGCTGAAGCGTGTGAAACTTGCAGAAGTGCAGCCAGGATTTGAATCCAGGTTGTTAGAATCTAAGCCCTGTGTGTTAACCAAATTGCTGACTTTTAAACATAAGTAGATTTATAGTTGGCTTAACAATTTATAGAAATAAAACTTCCTTTTTGTTAGGGAAAAATCCTATTGGGTTTACTGTTCTCACAGACAGTGTTACTTTTTGGAAGTGAAATATCCTATGTGGAGGCCGGGCGCGGTGGCTCACGCCTGTAATCCCAGCACTTTGGGAGGCCGAGGCGGGTGGATCACGAGGTCAAGAGATCGAGACCATCCTGGTCAACATGGTGAAACCCCGTCTCTACTAAAAATACAAAAAATTAGCTGGGCATGGTGGCGCGTGCCTGTAATCCCAGCTACTCAGGAGGCTGAGGCAGGAGAATTGCCTGAACCCAGGAGGCGGAGGTTGTGGTGAGCCGAGATTGCACCATTGCACTCAAGCCTGGGTAACAAGAGCGAAACTCCGTCTCCAAAAAAAAAAAAAAA